CGGTGCGGGGGACACCTCCAAGGGCTTTCGCTGGACAGCACGGACTCCTTACTGGAGCCCAGGGATGAACTCAAAACAGGAGAGGCCTGGCCTCCCTGCCTCCATTTTGTCTGCCTCTGCCCTCAGCCATTCTCTCTGCCAGTCACTTTGCAATCACCTTGGGTTCCAGAAAGGACAGAACCGATGACACCTTTGTGACAAGGGACTGAAACTTCCCGTAAGGAACGAGTGTGCGGGACAGACGCCCCTCCAGATGAGGACAATGACCTGTCGTGACGAGGTCGCACCTGAGCGGATGCAGCCATCTGTGGGCGCCATCCTTCGTCCCCTGTCCCCAGTTCTTTGTCCTCTCAAACCCGCGCGCGCCCCCAGCCGCGTCATAAAATCAACCTCCGTTCTCTGCCTCCACCTGGCCTCTGCGTTTGGGTTTAGGGACCGGGCTTTGGCGAGCCTCCAGGGACAAGGGACACCGTGGCCCTTCCTGGCTTTGGAAGGACCTCGAGAGCCTCGTGGTCACCCAGGGCCTCAGCAGGACGTCCCGGGGCCATCCGTACACGCCCCGTGCTGAGGACGCTCTCCGTCCTGTCCGCCCAGCAGGACACAGAGCCCAAGCTGTCCTGTGACCCTGGTGACCCCACCCAAGGCCGCTCCCTCCCAGGACACCCTGACCCCCAGGACGGCACGGGGAGGACACGGGTCCCACCATCTGTCACCTGTCACCTCCTGCTTATCCTCAGACACCGTCCCTTGACACCGGGCAGGACCCCGATCCCAGGCCGTGTAGACACCGCTCCCGTCACAGCCAGCCGGATCGGGCGAGCCCGGGTGACGCTGGGCAAACCCTTCAGTTCTCAGCAGCGCCGGGAGAACTGGGTCACGGCCCCGCGGTGGCCGCGGGGTCACCGACTCGTGCCTGTGGGTCGTGTCTGGCTTGAATTTCGTCAGCGCCTCCATTTGTGTTGCAGAGGAGGCAGAGAAGAGGCCATGGGCCCAGTTCTGGGATGGGGAAACTGAGGCCCACCGTGAGAAAGGACATTCCAGCCGTGTCTTCCCCTGCGGGGGGACACTGACACCCACGGGCGCAGAGGTGGAGCGAGGTCTGCAGGGTGTCTCCTGGAAGGGACGC